AAAAAAAAATGATATTTCAAGAAGGAAAAATACCGTTAAATACATTACAATATGATATTAAATACCATTTTAATGAATTTAAAACTCCATCAGGTATTTGCAGTATTAAATTATGGGTTTTTTTTAAACCTTCTTTGAAAATATTAAATTCGAAATTTTTAAAAAAAAAGAAATTAGAAAATTTTTAAAATTATGTTATTTCCGAAAAAAACAAAATACAAAAAAAAATTTAAAGGAAAACTTATAGGTAAAACACAAAAAGGTAATATTATTATTTATGGTAAATATGCAATTAAAGCTTTACAAGAAACTCGTTTAACTTCTAAACAAATCGAATCAGCTAGACAAACTATTGTTCGAAAAATGAAAAAATTGGGATTTCTTTGGGTTCGAATCTTTCCCGATATACCAGTGACTACCAAGCCGACTGAAAATCGTATGGGTAAAGGAAAAGGATCTGTTTCTTTTTGGGTAGCGAAGATTAAAAAAGGTCAAATTTTATATGAAATTAGTGGTATTCCGTTAGAAAGTGCAAAAAAAATTTTAAAAGCCGGTGCAAGTAAATTACCAACTAAAATAAAATTTATTTATAAATAAAATTTATTATAATATTTAAATATATATAAAAGGCTTATAGTTTAATTGGTTAGAGCATACCGCTCATAACGGTATTGTTGTGGGTTCAAGTCCCACTAAGCCTAATTAAAAAATATTTTATTTTTAATGATAAAATTAAAAAAACAAAAAATTAATAATTTAATCAATTATCAACACTTTTTACAAAATAATTATTTAAAAAACAAAAAATATAAATTAAATAACATTTTATTTGAAAATAAAATATTATTTAAAAATATAAATTTAGAATCATATATAATTGAATTTAATAATTATAAAAATATTTACTTACCTTTTACTTTAATAAAAATAAACGAAATTTCAACAATTGATAAAAAATATAAAGATATTATATTATTTAATTATGATTTAACTTATAATATTTTATGTCAATTTAATAAAATAATGTTTAAATATGCTATTAAAAAAAATAATAATTTAATTAAAGCTAGATTATTAGGAAAAAGTTGGAATAATAAAAAAATTTTTATACTAATTTTAGGTTTTGTTTTTTTTATGAAACCTATTAACTTAAATAATTCATTGAATTATAAAAAAAAAA